TTTCTTTCTTTCTTTCTTTCTTTCTTTCTTTCTTTCTTTCTTTCTCCACCTGACAAGCCCATTGGGTGACCTTGCAGTGGGTCCTAGCAGCCCCGCTGAGCTGAGCTGAGCTGCAGTCGGTTTTTGTTTAATCCGCATCCTTGGTCTTTGATCAAGAGGCCGCCGCTAACAGGAGTGCAGAACACAGGATGCCCCGCTGAGCAGCAGCCGGAGAGGAAGATGCTAATAAAAACTGTCATGCAGATAAAAACCTTGGGTGTTCCCTCTCCCTCCCCCCCCCTCTCTCTCCCCTCCCCAGGCGAGGTTGGTTTTCTCTAGTTCACATCCTTAATGTGGCTGGCTGAAGAATAGAATAGAATAGAATAGAATAGAATAGAATAGAATAGAGAAGGGGAGAAGGAAGGAGAATAGAATAGAATAATGGAATGAAGAATAGAATAGAATAGAATAGAATAGAATAGAATAGAATAGAATAGAGGATACAGAATACAGAATACAGAATAGAGAAGATAATAGAGAGAATAGACGATAAAATAGAATAGAATAGAATGAGAAAGAATAGAATATAATAGGAATTAATAAAATAGCATAGCATAGCATAGCATAGCATAGCATAGCATAGCATAGCATAGCATAGCATAGAATAAACAGACTTGGAGGCGACCCCAGAGGTCTTCTAGTCCAACCCCTTTGCTCAGGCAGGAAACCCTGCACCATTCCAGACAAATGGCTGTCCAATCTCTTTTTAAAAACTTCCAGTGTTGGAGCATTCACAACTTCTGAAAGCAATTTGTTCCACCGGTTAATTGTTCTGACTGTCAGGAAATTCCTCCTTAGTTCTAGGTTGCTTCTCTCCTCGGTTAGTTTCCACCCGTTGCTTCTTGTCCTGCCTTCAGGTGCTTTTTTGTCTTAGCAGGCCTTTGCGAACAAACAAAGAAACGAACGCTAGTTTACAAGACACCAGAGATAATTAACTTCCCCCAGATTGCAAAACCCAGAGCAAACAGGTCCCATGATGGGTTAACTTTAACGTGTGAAACTCTGTTTCTGGCAGTTACCTGGACAATGACAAAAACATAGGATATGGTTTTGAAAGCATTTCAAAAAGGGTTGCATGGGCTATTACTTTCCTTCTGGGGCCCTTTACTCGGATGGCCTCTGGCCTTGATGTGCTAATGAGACGGAACAGCACCAGAATGTATATTTTTAAGACGTGTTTCTAAGCAAAACAAAACGGGTCTACCTCTTTAAATCTTTTTAAAGAAGCACACCTGGATATTTTTTTTTTCCTCTTTTCGATTTTCATGCAGACTTGATCAAGGGAGCGTGATGATGCCTTGTTTTTTTTTGTTTTTTTTTAAATGCAGCCCTAAAGACTTTTTCCTTTTAATAAAATTTGTTAGTTAGAAAAGCTACCGCTGAATTCCAGGGTTATTTTGTTGTTGTTGTTGTTCCTATTATAGATAACACAAATCTCCTCTTACAGTCACTCAAGCTTGTTCATTTAATCAGATATGGTTTGTTTCTTAACACAATGTGGCAGATGATGATATAATAATAACAATAATAACAATAATAATGTATTAACCTAATTCTAAAGCAGCAAAGGGTAATAGGTAGTTACTGTTCATCCTGTGACTTTTTATTTCCTCGGAGTGAGCCCTAAAAAAGACAGGGATTTTATGCTGTATTGGCTTCAATTAAATTGCCAGGTGTTTTGTTTCGTTTTCATGTAAACCCCTCATATTATGCCGCTATTAAGAACGGTAGAGATTTTGAACATAATTCATCCATTGCTGTCGATGGAGGTCGGTTTCCGCTCCCATTTGCTAATTCAAGCACGTTGCTTGCTGATACAAAGAGCTGAACGCCAGGCTACAATTAGATTTCAACCCACCGAGATGCCACCTGGCTAGCACAAACTTCTGTTGTCGTTGGTCCGTGAAAAGGGCAGGTGTGAGAAAAATGAGGATTTCTCAGTTCTGGGTCTTGCTGGCGTTCAGCTTAGTTTTATATGTATGCTGACAATGTACAAAGGAATGAGAATTTTTTTTTTAAAAAAAAAAACCCTATCTGGTGGTAACCTAAGCTATCACAATGACTTGGGGGAAATTTGCGATGCATTCTTTGACATCCAACGCGACCACGCCCAACTTCCTATGCTGGTGGGTTGACCGATGTAATGCGATGTTCGTCTGCTTTCTTTGCGGATTTTGATTAAAACAGTCCTGTTTGATGATATTGGTAATAATACAGATGAAACTAGTATACTAACAAAGCGGTTATGGGTGTGGTTTCCTTCCTAGATATTTCTTTTCTTATTTTTCCCTTCTTTCTTTCTTTTTTTTTGGCAAGGATATTGGGTCTCATTTAGTAAAATTCTCTGCTGCAGCCCAACAGTCGAGGCTGCGTTTCTAGGATTTAAGGTGGTGCAAAATCATTTAAATAATAATGATGAGGAGGAGGAGGAGGATGAGGAGGATCGTATTTTTCCCTGGAGAAAAATCACCCTTTGGTGGCCTAATAAAGGTGCCATCGGGAGATCTTCTTCAGGTATCTGTAAAGGAGAGACTGCAGGTAGAAAAGCCCATTTAAGGAAGGCTTAGACGCACTTTTAACACCTATCCGGATGGGTAGAGAAATCGTGAGGAGAATAAAAGCCTTTTTTTTAAAAAAAAAAATGCATAAATTCCGCTGAAAACCGAAGAGACGGACCGGTCCATTCCTTCGCCAGGTGGGCTGGAGGAGCCAGGCGATTAAGGAGTGGCCCGGCTGCTGTCCGTGGTGCTGATCGGCTGGCTCCCGCCGCCGCTGCCCTGCAGACCCTTAAACCCCGAGCCGCCTTTCTACCTGGACCTGTCAGCCCGCGGAAGGCATTCCAGTAAGAGGAGGAGGGAG